CCTGGGGTTATCAGAGAGGGCTCGCAATCTGCTTCGAAGCAAGTGACACCGTCTGCGATGATGGCAATCTGGCCTCCAAGCCGCTGGCCCCGACCAGACTTCTTGAAGGCCTCGGGCGCGGCGTTGAAATCGCCTGCTAGAATCCACGGGTTGCGCAGCGAACTGACAAAAAGGCCCCGATGGACGCGAGCTCGCGGGCGTTGTTGCTCGCGAAGCAATCCGAGCCCTCGAGGTAATAGCTGATGAGGGTGACTGTCACCCCCTTGAAGTGCCAGGAGATCGGCACCCAGTCATGAAGCTCAAAAGAGGCAGCTCGCGAGGCGCCTATGACTGTGGTGCTGGATGATGCACAGTCCTCCCTCGCGAGCCCCCTGAAAGCCGTTGTCTGGTGGCGAGACGACACGGCCACACAGACTCCACCCAGAGATCCAGCGTCTGAGCGATCACTTTGGCGCGCTGCCGAGAACGCCGCCGTCCAGCCCCAACCGTTCAGCGTGCGCTCGGCCTCTGAAGGCTCGTCTGCTTGCACATGTGTTTCGCGCAGCAGGGGGGCGTCCAGCGAGTCGAGCTTCGAAGACTCTCGGACGAATTTCATGGCTGTAGGCCCCCAAATCGAGATGTTGCCGATAAAAACATGCCTGGCCGGGCGGCGCTCGGCATCACTACGCCGTCGCCCACGCCCCCCTTTCTTTCACTTTGGTACTGGCTTCCCCTCCGCGCGAGCGTGCGAAGGTCGGCGAGGAGCTTCTCCCTCGCTGCTGTCGCCTCTGCCGCCTTGGCCGCCTTCTCAGCCGTCGCCGCCGCTGCCGGTGCCGCCTCCGCTCTCGCCGCCGCCGTCGCCGCGGGGGCGCTGCCGCGCGACGGGGGGGCGGGCGCTGTCGCACTGGCGGGGGCGCTCGGCGCTGGCACCGCGGGGCCTCCTGGCCCGCCAGCGGGTGGCCCCTCGCCCTCCTTGGGGGGGGGCCTCGGCGTCGGCCTTCCTCTTCTTGGCCGCCTGGACCCACATGGCCCTGTCCTCCGCCGCCCAGTGGGTGCGCAGGTTCTGCAAGAACTCCGCAGTCTTGCCCTTCAGCTCATTGACCATGCTGTGCTTGGCCCTCTCAGCCAGCTGCACAGCCTCGAGCCCGACTTCGCCCTGCTCCACGTTGTAGGCCTCTTCGAAGCCCGACATGGCCTGCATCGCCGAAAAGGTCCTCCTCAGTGGGCGCCATCAGGTCCTGGAGCAGGTTCTTGTGCTGTGCACCCTCCTGCGTGATCTGCTCAACGAACTTGTCTGCTTTGACTACCGCGAGGCCCTTGTCCTGGAGGTCTTTCTTGCACTGGTGCAGGCGCTCCTAGGCCTTCTCGCAGGCATCGCAGGCGCGGTCGTAGACTCTGTTGGCCTCCTCCAACTCCTTCGCCGCATCCGCCAGCCTCGGCGCCTTGCTCCGTGCCGGGGCCGCAGCGGAGGTGGGCTGGGAGATGGCGCCGACGGCGCCCGACAACTGCTGTGCAATCTCGGGCTTGACATTCAGCGTCGCGATGTGCTTCGCCACCTGGGCTAGGGCATCCTCCAGCAACGTATTGGGGCTCTGCCCCGCTGCGCCGCCGCCGCTGCCCGTGCCGCCGCCCGTCTTCTTACTGGCGCTTTTGCGGGAGACCTGGGCCCCGCAGCCGCACCAGTAGCCCTTCTACTGCCAACTCTCGTCCCAGCCCCAGGCTTGGCACCTCTTGCAGCTGGTCCAGGTCGCCTGCTTGCCGCCGCGCTGCTGCTTGGGCATGCCCAAACCGTGGTGCGCCAGGAGCGTCGCCGAAGCCGCCGCCAGGAGCCTACGAGCCTCGCCTCGGCGCTGGCGGAACCGCCTATGCCACGCAGGTTCTGGCTGGGACGTGGGGAGAGAGGGTGCGACGCCGACCTCTGGGGTCGCGCGCCTGGGGTGGCCTCCACTCGGAGCCTCTGCAAAATGCGGGCTCGAGAATGGGCCAACGCCTAGGGAGGAGGAGGTGGAGGAGGAGGAGGAGGACGACGACGAGAAGGAGGCGGAGGAGGAGGAGGAGGATGACGAGAAGGAGGCGGAGGAGGAGGAGTGGGAGGAGGATGAGAAGGAGGAGGATGAGGAGGGGAGGAGGAGGAGGAGGAGGAGGAGGAGGAGGAGGAGGAGGAGGAGGACGAGGAGGAGGAGGAGGAGAGGAGGAGGAGGAGAAGGAGGATGAGGATGAGGATGAACAGGAGGAGGATGGGGGGAGGAGGAGAGGAGGAGGAGGAGGGAGGAGGAGGAGGAGGAGGAGGGAGGAGGAGGAGAGAGGAGGGAGGAGGAGGAGGAGGAGGAGGAGAGGAGGAGGTGGAGGAGGAGGAAGAGGAGGAGGAGGAGGAGGATGGAGAGGAGGAGGGAGAAGGAGAAGGAGGAGGAGGAGGAGGAGGAGGAGGGAGGTGGAGGACGGGGGGAGGAGGAGGAGGTGGAGGGGTGGAGGACGAGGAGGAGGAGGGAGGAGGAAGAGGATGCGGAGGAGGAGGAGGAGTAGGAGGAGGAGGAGGAGGAAGATGAGGGGGAAGACGAGGAGGAGGAGGCGGGGGATGAAGGGGAAGGAGGAGAGGAGGAGGAGGAGGGAGAGGAGGAGGAGGAGGGGAGGATGAGAGGAGGAGGCGGAGGAGGAGGATGAGGAGGAGGATGGGGATGAGAGGGCGGAAGAGAGGAACGAGGAGGAGGCGGAGGCGGAGGCGAAGGAGGAGGAGAAGGAGGAGAGGGAGGAGACGAAGGAGGGAGGAGGAGGAGGAGGGAGGAGGAGGAGAGAGGAGGAGGAGGAGGAGGAGGAGGATGAGGAGGAGGAGGAGGAGGAGGAGGAGGGGGGAGGGAGAGAGGAAGGCAGGGAGGGGGAGGACGGACGGAGGGAGGGATGAAGGGAAGGGAGGGAGGGAGGAAGGGCGGGATGAGGACGAAGAGGACGAGGAGGAGGAGGGGGAGGACGACACGGAAGAACATGAGGAAGAGGAGAAGTAGGAGGATGATGCTGATGATGATGAGGAGGAGGATGAGGAGGAGGAGGATGATGCGGAGGAGCAGCAGGAGGAGGAGAGGGATGCAGAGAGGGGGGAGGAAAGGGACGACGCGAGACGAGGAGAGGGAGGAGGAGAAGGAGAAGGAGGCGGAGGAACGGGGGGCGAAGGGAGAAGGAGAAGGAGAGGGAGAAGGAGAAGGGAGCAACGGGAGGCAGAGGGGAAGGAGGTGGAGGAGGAGAAAAAATCAGGAGGCGGAGGAGGAGGGATGGGGAGAAGGAGGGGAGGAGGGAGGAGGGGGAGGGGGAGGAGGAGGAGGACGCGGAGGAGGAGGAGGATGAGGAGGAGGCGGATGAGGAGGAGGACAAGCAAGAAAAGGGAGGAGCAGGAGGAGGAGGAGGAGGAGGAGGAGGGGGATGGGGAAAGAAAGGGAGAACGATGAGACGGATCGTGGGGAGGATGAGTAGCATGAGGAGGAGGGTGATATTAATACTAAGAATCGTATTACGGAAGGAGAGACTCAGACTACTAGGAATAATATTCAGAAGCGGGTGGATACGAATATTCAGAACCATAAGCAATGATGGTGCTGCTGAGAAGAAGACGACGAATAATAATACTATTAATATTGACAATAAGAATACGAATGATAATAATAATAATAATGATGATAATAATAATGAAAAATAATAATAATAACATTAATAATAATAATATCAATATTAATAATGATACGGATCAGAAGAATAATACGAATGATAATAATGAGAAGAACAAGACGAGTAATAACCACAATGAAGCAATTCGGCGGACGACGGATCTTACTAAAACGAAAAAGACAAAGGATACCAAAACGAAGACGAATGAGGAGACGGGTGGCGGAGGAGGCGGAGGAAGAGGACGAAGAGGAGGAGGAGGAGGAGGAGGAGGAGGAGGAGAAGAGGGAGGTGGAGACGGAGGAGGAGGAGGAGGAGGAGGAGGAGGAGGAGGAGGAGGAGGAGGGAGGAGGAGGAGGAGGAGGAGGAGAGGGAGGAGGAGAGGGAGGAGGGTCAGCAGAAAGGAGATGGAGGTGGAGGAGGAGGAGGAGGACTGGACTGGACTGGATTGGACACGACTGGAACGCTTACGACCTTGGCTGGTCTCTCCCGAGCGTAAGACTGCGGATAACTCAGGGCTATAGCCTGCAGCCTCGCTGGGGGAAGACCTCTGGCCCTGAGCAGGACGGTCTGATGGGGAAGGGCCCATGGCGGCCTGAAAGGGCACCATCCTCCCATGCATCGGCGATGCGGCGCGTTCCCCTGACACCATCTACTCGGACCCCGTCTGGGAGGCCTGGAACTATGTGCCGAGGAAGGCGCACCGCGGCAGGGCAGAAAACCAGCTGCTCGTAGCAGCGTTCGTCCAGGCCCTCCTTTCCCTATCACCCCCCTTCCGTCCGACCCGATCGTCCTGCTGCTCCTGCTGCTGCGAACCGCCCATTCGCCCACAACCCGTCCGAGCACCACGCCAGCTGGACAACATCAGGCGCGCAGCGCACAGCGTACAGCCCGTACTCGGCTCTGGCTGCAGAGCGCCAGCGGTTGCGCTACCGCCCAACGACCTGAAGGACCTGCTCCCGTCTCCACGGTGCGACTACAGACCTGCAACACTCAGAACAGAGGAACCTATGATCTATTCATCTGTTCTGGTAGTGGAGGAAGAAACAGCTGCATCAGCATAACCTTCCGACGGCCTGCGCGGAATTCGTTGACTTGCGCTGGACCCCCCTACCTGGCGTGCGGAGCCTGCCGGGGGCGGCGCTGCAGGCACCGCCAGCGGGGGGCCAAACGCCTATCCACGAAATCCGCGTGGAGCGTTGAAACTTCATGTTCATGATTTATGCACTCCTAATTCTCCGAGAACCCTTGACTGCCTGATCTCCATCGGACCCGCTGCATCCTCCAAAGCTCGAGTGGCTTCGTTTTCCCGCAACAGCGCCCCAGCAGGCTCGGCCGCGGGCCACTCTAGCAGCAGCCAGATCCCCCGGCTACGCCCCGCTCGTCAGAGATTGTAGATCAGCATGACGGCGTGGGCCGCAGGACGGGCCGCGCACCGCGCTTGCTCTGGTCGGGGGGTCGTCAAGGAGGGGTAGGGGCACGGGTGGGGCGGAAGGAAAATCGCTCCAGGCGGCCGCTAGGAGAAGGAAGTGTGAGCATCCAGCTGGGCTCGTCTGCGAGCCCTACCTTGGGATCAACCCCCCTCTATACAGACCTCCTAGATTCGGCGGTGGACAAACCTCCCTTTAGTAAGCCTCCCTTTAGTGAAAGCGGCCTGGGACCGAAACCGACGGACCTGGACCCGCAAAAATGACGGCCGCGACGCCCTCTCGCGAACCGAAAACGGCCAATTCCTCAATCGACGTGTCAGGGTAGGAGGTCTGTCCGCCCCCGATAGATGGGGTCGGAATGGATGGGGTTGAAGAGTCGTGACGCATCGCCGATGCATCGGCGATGTATCGCCGATGCCTTGGTGATACACCAGCGACATCTGCGATGCATGGGGCCACCAGCGTGGAGAAAATCGGGCTCCACATTTAGCCGCATGGCCGATGCATCGGCGATGTGGCGCGATCCTCCGACCCCATCTGCTTCAACCCCATCTGGAAGGCCTGGAACCTTGGGATCACTCCCCCCTCTACGAGCCCCCGATCTGGCGCAGAAGGTGCCGCGAGCTTCGCTTCTGTCCGGGGTCAGGCGTTCGAGCGCTGCTGCTGAGAGGGGGCAGCCAGCCCCCTGGGGCGGGCGGCCGGGCGAAGAAACGATGGCGTACACTGCACACGGCCACGAGGCCACGTGTGCAGAAAGGGCCCTCCGCGGCCATCGCCTGCCGGAGCTCACCCGGGGGCCAGGCGAAACCGCCTGGCCCGCCGCTCTCCGCGGCAGAGGCCACCCTGGCTGGCTCTGTCGCAGGCCACCAGCACCAGACGATTCTCCCGGCGAGAGTGCCGCACTGGCATTCGGTCGGGCATGTCCCCCTACAGGCGGACTTTGGGCAACACGTAAAACACATTCAAAACATATGAATTAAGCATAGCCGAATCAGATACTACAAACATCGTCCCCATATCAATTCTGGACTGTTTTGGAGTGTTCTTCCTGCAGAGGGACACGCCCGCCTTAACACTGGCAATCGGTGAACGTTTCCTCATTCGGCACTTCGACATTGGGCCGAACGGGGAGGGGGTCGGGTCCGTCAGGCATGGCAGAATCCTGCACGATCCTGCAAGATCCTGCACCCACATGTGGGCCAACGCGAAGGATCCTGCAGGATTCCTGCAGGATCCTGCGCCCGAGCCCGGGTCAGTGCGCCCCAGGCCCTGCAGGATCCTGCAGGCTCCGGCGCTCTGGCTGACCCCCGTCTGCATGGAACCCCGTCTCAAAGCTCCCGAGGGGGAAGGGGCGGCCTGGCTCCGGACCTCTGCTTCGCGCAGGCGCCCAAACAGGCAAGATCTGCTCCAGGGGGGGAGGGTGGCGGCGCGCACAAGGGGGTGGAGGGAGGGGCGGGGCTTCTTAGAAAAGGAGGCTGCTTCTTAGAAGGCGCCGGCCTTACATCTGTAGGTAAGGCCCGCGCATTCTAAGAAGTAGAGGTGCTTCTGAGAAGCCCTCCCCGGCCCTCCCCCCTCCCCCACACCCCCCTCTGCGCGCATCTGGAACACAGCCAAGATCTGCTCCAGGGAGGGGTGGGGGAGGGGGCGCGAGGGCCCGCGCCGATCGGCAACACAATGAGAAGACGATCACCTTGCCGCCGCTTCTTGGGAGCCCGAGTTATCCGGGGTAACTCGGGTCCGGGGTAACTCGGGTTTGGGTTCCCGAAAAACGAACCCGAGTTATCCCTGACCCGAGTTACCCCTGATGATTCGGGGCCCTGGACGCCCGAAATATCCGGGGTAACTCTGGTCCGGGATAACTCGGGTTCGGAATCCCGAAAACCGAACCCGAGTTAGCCCTGACCCGAGTTACCCCTGATGATTCGGGGCTCTGAGCTTCTGCTCTGCTGCCCATGCTGACGGCCTCCGTCCAGGCTCAGACCTTCGAGAACTGCTGCCGAGCGAGGCGGCCGGCCGCCCGAGGCAAGGCAGACGCCGCGCGCCGGGAGCTGCAGCGCCTCGGCCATGCCGCGGTCCGCGGCGAGGTCCGCTTCCGTTGGCTCGGCTGCCATCCTCGGAGGACGGACAAAAAAAAAGCTGGATCATACACCATCCTCGGAGGACGGACAAAAAAAAAGCTGGATCATACACTTTCGGAGCTCCGCGCGGATTGCTTGGCTCTGCGCTGGGGACTCCGGCGCCACCCCTGGCGAGCGCCGCCCGTCATGGAGGCGGGTCTGGCGCAGATCAAAGAGCTCCGCGCGGAGTTCCAACAGTTTATGCTTTTCCTGGCTTTTCTTCTTCTGAGGGGCAACGATAAGGGGGGACTGGCATAGGTGGGGATGCATCGACCTGGAATCGGTGGTACATCGCCGATAGATCGGCGATAGGCCTCCGATCGTGAATCCGCACCTCCCTGGGCAGGTTGGGGCTATCGGGCCCCTATCGGCGATCAATGGGCGATTGGAGGTCGATGCATCCCCCCCTATGCCCATCCCCCCCTATCGTTGCCTCTGGTCTTCAAATCCTCCAGCACCAGGCGGGTCCCCCGGCGAGTGTGCCGCGCTGGGAGCTCGGAGGCGTTGCCGCTCAGGTGGGCTGCGTCTGGCCAGGGTCAGGCGCTCGAGAACTGCTGCTCGGTGGGGCGACAAGCCATCCGAAGAGGGCGATGGCCGGGAGTGAGGCTGGTGGCGCTCGGGCCAACTAGTGCGGCGAGCCAGCATAAGAGTGCCCACTCAAGCCGCACGCGTCGAGCCAAAAATGCCTTGCCTACTTCCGAGGAAGCCCCCAGCCCATTTCCCAGTCTCGAAAATATTGCTGTACCATGCTCATTTTGTTACAGGGAGGCTGGAACACATTGAAGTTGGGAGTTCCGTCAAAAAGAAGTGGCCAGGGTCGGAAAAACCAGCAAGGGCTGCGACGAGAACGAAGAGGTTGGGATGTGGTCGCCGGGGCTGGAACAAGTGAAGGCAAACTGGCCAGGGGCAGAAGGAGTGGAAGAGCTGCCACCAGCCACTTTTTCCAGCCTCCGTGCATCAGCATAGACTCTCGGAGGTCCGCGCGCATGTCTTGGATCAGCGCTGGACTTCCCTCTCTGGCGCACGGTGCGGCGCCGCCACAGGGACCCCCAGTACCGATCCTCTAAGAGACGTGCGCCAGAAGGCTACAATGCAACATATCGTGTGTGTGTGTGTGTGTGTGTGTGTGTGTGTGTGTGCGTGTGCGTGTGCGTGTGCTTGTGCTTGTGCGTGTGCGTGTGCGTGTGCGTCTGCGTGGGCGTGTGTGTGTGTGTGTGTGTGTGTGTGTGTGTGTGGGTCTGGATGTGGGTGTGTGTGCGTATGCATACGATTTGAACGCTGCGCCTTCGACAATCCTCGATCGCAATTAGCACTTTCACTTGTTGCTCGCTCTTGAGGACCCTCTGCGCCGCCGAATATAAAGTGCGCGTGCGTCCAAAAATGTAAACCCATGAATGCTATTCTGCGTAATATAAATCTCATACTAGTGTAGATCTCACCCCTTACCCCCTACCGGAGTAATCTCACATCCGTCGACAATTCCTCACTGGGCCCTTCTGGGCCTCAAAACAAAAACAACCCAAAGGAAATCAATGACTTCGGCTTCTTGAAATTTTTGAGATTCGAAGAGGGGCTCGAGACGGTTCTGCTCTAGAAATCCCCCAAATGATCCGCTATGGCTCCAAGAAGGCCCAAGATGTCCCCAACACGGCCCAAGAGGCCTCCAAGACGGCCCAAGTGGCTCTCACGATAGAAGGCCCCACGAGGACTCCCGACAGGGATCCAAAAGGTAAAAGTGGTGCAGGTCACTCATGCTTGTGATCAATGAAACGTTCTCGCCTTCTCGGGCTTTCAACATTCCAAGACGGCCCCAGAGACCTCCAATATAGTTCCAAGACGGCCCAAGAAGACCCCGAGAGTGTCCCAGGACGGCCAAAACGAGACAATGCCACTTGGGTGGCGCCACGTGCGAAAGTGTCGCCACTTTCGTGAGCTCGTGGGGAATCCATCGGAATGCGGTCTTACGCGGACCCAAATGAGACATCGCCTCTTTGGGTGCCACCAGCTGTGCAATTGTCGCCACTCTCGTGAGCTCATAGGAGGTATAGCGGAGCGGAGTAGTATGAGGACCCACATCAAACCTCGCCTCTTTGGATGCCGCCAACTGCGCATGGGGCGCCACTTTCGTGACATCGTGGCGGCTCAGCGCACTGCAACCACAAGCGAATTCAATGAGACCCCCGGCCCCGCACGCACTTGGTGACGCTTGGTCAGAAAACGCTTCCTTCACTTGGGCCTAAACGTCGTCTTTCGGAGACAATCGTCGGCTTCCTTGGCTTTGGCCCAGCGGTCTTCGTTCGCGCCGCGCGAACACCTTCCAGATGACCCAGGGGTCGGCTTTCGGACCGAGGAGCTGGCGCACCAGATCGGCCTTGCAAATTTCCTGGACGTCCGGGCGAGAGAGCCACGAGAGCATCTGCGCGCGAACCTCCCGGGTGCGTCGTCTGGATGGGCAGATTGCACAACGACCGACTATCGCCTCTCGTCGTCATCTCTTCTGCCTCTTATCCTGCTGCTGTCCCAGCCTCGTGCCTTTCCTTGTCCTCTTATCCTCCTTGTCATCCTGCCCATCCTCTCTCGTCGCCCCTCCCGCCTCCCGCTCATCCTCATCACCTTCCGTCTGGGGGTGATCATTTTCGCAAGAGTGTCCAGGCGATCGTGGGGAAGTGCAAGTGGTCTCACATCTTTCGATAGTACGCATTCAAGAACCCTGGAGGTCCTCATCACATTCTTTTGTCATGGATGGTACCGCTGATCGTCACCGCGTGCTAAACAGGCCGTGTAAGTCTCGAAGTAATCATCCCTTTTCTGCCTCATGGGGGTCCGTGAAGCGCCCTCTTTGGCACACTTAGCGCTCTCTGGGTCCGTCCTTGGTCTTGAATCAATATGAGGTCCGCCGGGGTCCGTCATGGGCTCTCTTTGGGCGCTGTTGGGCCGTCTTGGGCCCTCTCCAGGCGCCTCTGACCTGGCCACCGCAGATGGTACTCAACGACCTCTTCATACATCGAACCATCTGAAAAAATCGATACATGCCACAAGACCTATTCATACATCTCACGCGATACCAGCACAAGACTCATCGAACCAAGGACGCAACTGCGGGGACAATCCCCGTAACGAAAACAACCGCCCCGCGTTTGCGCTAACACAATCCGCCATATGACACGCCCATGGTCCCACCCCTTCATGCCCTTCCCCTCTCCACGAGTCCGCTGAAGAGCAAGCTGGCCGTCCACACAGCAAGCCAGCCAAACAGCTAGCCATCCAGCCAGCCAGACAGACTGCCAGCATGCCAACCAACCTGGCAGAGATCCGATCAACCCGATCATGCCAGCCGTACGGCACAGCAAAACGGGGGCTGGCGGCAGGGAACGCAGCCCTTCAAACTGAAGGGGCCCAGGGAGACACAAATGAATCTACACAACACCCAGGACTCCAAATATTGTTGCATATTTCCTGGATGTTCGTCTTCCCCTCCACTGCCCATGCTTTCCTGGGCATCGACGTTTATTTGTGCCTGCGCTATTTTTCTCCTGGTGCACACAGCGTGGGGGAGGAAGAGGGACGAGGGTCTGGGCGAGAATCCTGTTTCTCCCCTTCCCTCCCCGTTCTGGTTGACCGGATGGCCCTTCAGCCCCTAGGCTGACCCTGGACAACCATAGACACGTCAGGCCGTTACCTCTCGCACTCGCCGTTCTGCGAACCGGCCCGGCTGCCTTATTGATGTTCGTGAGGTACGTGTTGTGGTGCTTGTCGTGGTGGAACTCCATGGTCGCCTTCAGCAGGTGCGCGGCTCCAGAGGAAGGGAGAGACGAGGAAACGTGGCCATAAAGAGAACAAGCCGTATCCGTTGAACCGGACTAGTGCGTTGGGCCCGTGCATGCTCCCGACTGAGCATTTGTTCAAAGGCGGCCCGATTGGGAGTGGGCGCGAACGTGCCAGGGAGAAGGACGCCGTAGACGAACACACACAATCAAAGCCAATGAAGGAAACAGACAACACCGGGATGCACGCTTGCACGCTTCGGAGTCTGACAGCACGAACGCTGGTAACACTCATATGCTCTCTCTGTCCTTCTTACGAGACGGACCGTCCATCAAAGACTGATACTCCCAATCGGGAACTCACCACGTCACGCCTGCCTGATCAACCTCCTTTGTCAATCTTCCGGCAACCATGTCGAAACCAGTATACTTACTTGGTCATAATGGCCTTGCTGGAATTGTCCCAGACTGTATGGTACAATTGTCTGCTCTTCCGCCTCACCTCTCCCCAACCCTCCCCTCGCTTCTTGCCCCTCGTCTCCCTTCATGTCCGTCCCCCTTCTATGTGCCTTCCCCGAGGTCAACCCAGCATGTGCGAACCAGCGTTGTGCGCAGACATGGGGGGTAATAACAGAATCCTGGCGGGCTCTGACTGGGTCTTCTGTGGGTCAAATCGACGCTCATGCGCTGCAACTTCGGCAATGTGGCAAGTTCCACGTGGCGACTTCGCGCAGTTCTCTATCTTCGGCCCGTGCTGCAATTTCGGCCAAACGTCGAATACAAATGAATCAGCGTAGTTGAACTTCAGAATCTTCGACATTATCCCACCTTGCGCCTACAAATGCCGGAAGTCCTGATGTCTCGAGACATGGCAAGCGCCACACTTTCAAGGCATCCGTAATTCAGCAATGCTTCCTCTCCCCCATCACCTCCGTCACCTTCAACAGTCACCACCGTCAACTCCTGCAACCCTTTTCTCCTCCTCGTGCTCGTCGCCTTTGTTACCTCCTTCGCCCGCCATCGCCCGCATCCCACCTATTCCCTGTTACTCCTGCTCCGCCGTATCCACTTCCTATCCCCCTCCTCCTCTCTTCCTCCTCCTCCTTTTCCTCCTCCTCCTCCTCCTCCTTCTCCTCCTCCACCTTCGCCTCCGATATAGAAAGTCAGAGAGAGAGAGAGAGAGAAAGAGAAATACATCAACAACGAGCAGAGAAAAAGAGAGAGAGAGGGAGATCTTGTGCTGGCCAGAAATGCTCGCACGCAATTCCCCATCAACAAAATTGTCGGGGGTGAGATGCTCCTATGGGAGCTCGCGATGGTGGCGCCCCCACACAGACCTGCCTCGGCCGCGACAGAGAGTCAGCTCCCGCTTCGAGTCCATCCCCACGCCGCCCCCCTTAAACAGGGGGAAGTGTGCTTGCGCCACATTCCAGCGGACACTTCGCTGTGCGATTGCGGATGGCAGGGTCTCGCCCCGCGGCTCGGGCAGTGCACGCGGCGCGGCTGGCAATACGCCGCGTGCGGTCGGGCTCCGCGCAAACGTCGCTACACGACCTCCGCAAGGGAGCCGATCGGAGGTCCCCGCGACGCGACTATGGGTGACGGAGCTTCGCTCCCCGAGCAGGGCGTGGCGCATCGCTACGCGATTGGCCATATGTCGAGCGCGTCCCGCGCGGTGGTCGCGCTCCGCGCATCCTCCGCAAGTGAGGGGTGCGGGGGTCTGCCTTGGAAACTGTGCACGCGGGTCCTCGGGGGCCCCTCAGACCGCGCCAAGAATCCTCGACCGCTCGACCATCATCAGGCCCCCTCGTAGTTTCTCATGCTTCTACAGAATTCCACGCGTCTCCTCTGGCGGCGTCGCAGCTGCTGTCATCCCGCTACGCGACCACCGCGCAGGGTGGTAGCGGGAGGGAGACCTAAGTAAAACAATAGGGATGGCTGTGATGCGCCCAAACGCCCATGCATTCCTAGGCGCCCCCAGGGGCTCCCAAGCGTTCCCACGCGCTCCCGGGCGCCCCCAGGCCCTCCCAAACGCTTCTAAGTACTCCCTGCCAGCCGCCCCGAGGCTCTCCCGGGCGCCTCCAAGCGTTCCCAGGCGTTCCAGGCGCCCCCCAGGCGCTCCCCCCGAGCGCTCCAAGGCGCTCCTCCCGAGCGTTCCCAGGCGGCCCCAAAACTTGCAGGTGTTCCTAGCTTCCAGAAACAACCAGCCTGAGCACTCGAACCCGTCAGGGGACGCGACGCGACGCCGATTGCCGCGTCCGCGCGCGGAGCACGCAGGCACGCGCTATGAGAGCGACGGCTGGGGGGCCAAAGCCACACTCAGATCTTCGTGATCTTTCTCGTATCGTTCGTGGTGCTGTGGATACGGGCCACCGTTATCCCCTCATTTTACCAGAAACATTCCAGGGCACCGTCGTTCGTCTGTTCCTCGGGGCCCACTCGGTCACTGCCGTTGCCCAAGCTCACCTTCTCATCGCTGGGAGCCTCCTCGATGGTGTCGTTCCCATCCTCCTCCGCGTGTCCGGTCTCCTCAGATATCTTGGCGTCCTCGGCGGTGCCACATGTTTGGGTTTCCTGTCTTCCTCGGACTCGAACTTCACGGATCTTGGGCCCGGCTCTGGATCCTCACGCGCCTCCTCCGTCATACCCGCTGTGACGAAGTCGAGCGTCTTCTGAAAATCCTAGGTGTGGTCTGGAATTCCGTATTCTGTCGCAGGGATGTGGTTGTGCCCGTCGGGGGCTCCATCCGAAGCTGTGCGTTGCGCTCGTTTGTCTTCGGCATGATATTGTCAATCAGCATGTCAATGCGCTGAAATTCTGCAGCTGGAACTCGTTGGAGGAGAAGTTCGATCCAGGTAATCCTTGTCTCGAGGCGTAGATCAAGATGTACTGCTGGCGTGGGCACCTCGATCTCGGATGATAGCGACTTATTAGGTGTCAGCATGTCTAGCTTGCTCAAAACTTCACTTATTGCAGAGTCAGTCCGGTCGAAGCGTTCGTTGACCACCTTTGCATCTCGCACGACTGCTATGTACCGCTTGGCATGCCGAGCTTGCCATGTGCTGGGTACCACCATGTCCATACTTGCTGTGCCTGCTTTGATCGGAATCTGCGCAAACTGTGCAACTGACGCCCCTTGAGCCCTGAGGGCCTGAGCACATATAAAACGGCACCTCAAGGAAACGCTTAGGAAAAGGCCCCGATTGGCTGACTCACAGAATTAACAATTGGCCAACACCGTCTGATCAATCAGAAGCACAGCCGTGCGCAGGTGGCCTTCCTGCTTAAACGGTAGCACAGCTCTGACTGCCGCCAGGTGGTTCTTTTTGCTTGTTCCTTTTATGTTTCTGTCTCTCTGTCTCTCTCTCCCTCTCTACAGAGGGGTCCTGCGGAGGCTACCGATACCTGGCGAAGTCCACAGGCGAAGCCCACAGGGGATGAGCCTCTTGGAAGGCTCTGACAGTGCGGGCGCTGCATGCCTTTTTTCTAAGCTTTCCTAAGCGCTCCCCGGGGGAGCTCCCAGCATGCGCCCCCGCGCGCTCCCAGGCCGCTCACATGCGCTTCCAGGTGCCCCCAAGCGCCCCCTATGCTCTCCCAGGCGCTCTCAGGCGCTCTCAAGCGCTCCCAAGCGACCCCATGCTTTCCCAAGTGTTCCTATACTAGGCTTTTCCACGCTGCGTCCAAGGCTTTCCCAAGCGTTCCCAGGTACTCCAGTCGCTCCCAAACGCTCCGGAGGGCTTCCAGGCGCCCCCAAACCATCCCAGACGCTCCAAAACGCTCACACATTGCCCCCGCAAGCTCCCAGGCGGTCCCAGGGCCTCCCCAGCGCCTCCAGCCCTTCCCCAGCGCTCCCAGACACTCCCAGGCGTTCCCACACGCTCCCAGACGCTCCCAGCACTCCCAGGCGTTCCCCACGCGCTCCCAAGCGCTCCGAAGTGTCCCGTGTGCTCTCGGACGTCCCCAGACGCCCCCCAGGCGCTCCCAAGCGTTCCCGGGCCAATTGCCGCAAGGTCTGGAGCGGCGTCGACTTCCGTGGAGAGGGAAGCTACGCGAGGCAGTGCCGGGCAGCCTCCGAGAGGTTCGCGTTCGTGGAGCCCGCGCGGGGGCAAGCCAGCCATCGGCCGCAGCGGGGCTGAGCAACGGCGCGAGACCTTGCAACGGGTCACGACATGGCGGAGGTGGGGTGTTCTGGCTTCTGCCAGAGGTGCGGTGCCTTCGCCAAGCTGGAGGGCCACGACAGGGCAAAGGGCCACAAGGTGCTGTGCTGAGGTGCCATTCCCAGAGCGGGGATGCCCTCAGCTGGCGAGATGGAGAAGAATAGGAAGCGCAATAGCAACAATGACTAAGAAGAAGGAACACAACACAACACAAGAAGAAAAAGAGGAAGCGCCCAAACCTGGCTCACCCGATGCGCGGCCTGGACCCGTGCTCGGGCAAAGTGTTGGCGTCCACCCCCCCCCGGCGTAACATGCGGTGCCTCGGCCCAGCGCTCACCGCTGCCGCGCCGCGGGCCCACAGCAGCCTGGTGCTACCGCGCTGCCTCCAGGCGGGGAGCCTGGGGCAGCGAGCCACACGAGCGGTCCCGCTCGGGAGCCCGGCGCGGACGAACGAGACCACGCTTCGCCGTGCTGCACCGCGCAGCGCGGCTGGGCGTGCAAGCGGGGCCCAGAGGGAGAGACAGAGAGAGAGAGAGAGAGAAAGAAATATCGAGCTTACACCGATGCACATATGCGTATAGACATACGCATATACATATACACGTAAACGTGGATAATCATGCACATCTACGTCTACGCATGCATCTACATACATATGCACGTTACGAGTACATATACACAGACATGTGCAAATACATGTGCGTGTAATGTACATATACATCTACACATAGCTACCCACCTGCGTACACGTATGCAGATACGTGCATGTACATACAACTATACATACACATACCTATACACGTGTATATAAGCGCACGAACATTTATATATACACACATATATATATATGTGTATATGTGTATACATATTCTTATACACACAGACATATGTATACAGCGAGAGATAGAGGAAACACAGAGAAACATAAGGCACAGCCAAGAACGAGCGCTGACTGCAAATTAGTTGGACAGGTTCCTTCCCCGCCGAACTGCGAGAGACCCGACAGCCTTGTCGATTGAGGGCTCCAGCGCGTCGTACGCGTAACCCAGCGGGGGGAGCTCGTATGCCTCGGCCACCTGGGCGCGCTGGCTAAGAGGAGGCTCCGGGACCCGAGGTCTCATTGGGAGGAGGAAGGGCATGGGGAGGCGAGGCGAGGCGAGGCGCCGACATACGTCCAGAAGAATGACTCTACGAGAGCACGGCGGTTGGGCCTGAGTCCCGTGACTCATGAGCGCGGAAGCCCGCGATGGACTGGGCGAAGTGAAGACGACAACGAAGAGCAGAAACCGCCACAATTTGGCAAACTACCTGCACATCGGCAAAAAATTACAATGGGGGCTCGGCCACAAGAAACCTCCGCAAGAAACCCAACCCTGACATCCGCGATTTGTTCAGTGAAAATCCACATCTGTCGATCGAAAATCGTCAAGATCTGATTGGGATCCCATCGAAATCCAAGAAACCCGGGGACCTCGGCAAAATCCAACTGGTTTCTCGGCACGCGCCCCCACTGAAGGAGGCGCAGGAGAAGGAGGAGAACCCCAGGGCTCCTGCAAGACTGACTCATAACGGCCCGACGCCGGCCCGACGCGGCTCAGGGTGAAGAGGAGAACCAAAGGCCCCTCCAAGACCGACCCATCACGGTCCGAAGCCAGCCCGACGCGGCCCAGGGGGAGGCCGAGAACCAAAGGCCCTTCCAAGGCTGACCCATCCTGGTCCGAAGCCAGCCCGACTCGGCTCCAAGAACATCTCTGCAGCGGCCCAATGTGGCCCCGCAAGTTCCTCGGACGGCCCCAGAACTCCCCCGGACAACCTCCAGACGCCCCAAGACACCCAAAGATCCCCAACAGGGCCGCCTCCTGCAATCCTCAAAATAGTACTCAAGCGGCCCACTCGGGGTCTGCACATGTGGAAGGCCAAATTGTCTTCGTATGTGGTTCTTTTTCCATGCTGGACGCCTTTGGACGGCTTCCAGGCTGCCGCAGATGGCGCCCAAGCGAGCTCGGAGGCTCCTGGAAGGCGTCGAGCTAGCCCCTGGGCCGCCAATGAGCGCTCCAAGACGGTCCAAGACCCCCCGACGGTGGCCGCAAGACAACCCACAAGCGCCTCAATGACCCAAACTGGCTCCAAGATGCTGGGCACCAGCAAGAAAAACCCTGCGACGGCATGCACACTCCCTCAACTGTTCCATGCTGCATCCAACCGACCGGAGAAGCCCCGACATGATCCTGGAGTCTAAGAAGCCAGCACGAGCGCAACATGCATGCACCATAACAACACAAGCATGAACACGCGTGACGATTGAGAGGACCGCGCAATACCAAGGAAGACTTACGTGATACTCAAAGTCTTTGTATTCTCTGTGCGCCTCTGTGCGCGATACACCGATGCGATACCTAGGAATGCGCCTCTGTGCGCCTCTGTGCACCTCTGTGCCTCTGTGCGCCTCTGTGCGCCTCTGTGCAATACCAAGGAAGGATACGCGATACACTGTGCGCCCCTGTCGGGATCTGGTCTTGTGCAGCCCGCGCTCCCGATCGGGCAACGCTCACCGCACCAGTATCTAACATACCCCAATTAAAGGCCCAGGGCGACCGACTGTGGCCTCAAGGCGTAAGAATGCCCCAAACCGCTCAAAGAGCCTCCACGATGGTCCAGGAGGACTCCACGATGGCCGATGGGGGCATCCAAGACGGCTCCAAGACGGCCAAAGAAGGGCTACTGAGGCACCCAAGCCGGCGCCAAAAGGCCACATGGCGGCCGAAGCCGAAGACGGCGCCAAGACGGCCCCAGGACGGCCCTCAAGACACTCCGTGCGGTCAAAGGGGGGCCCAAAGATGGCCCAATATAGAGCCAAGACGGCCTAAGAGGGTCCCGAGACAGCCGAAGAAAGCCCCAAAAACAACAGCAAGGGACCCCCAAAGACTGCCCCACAGGAGGCACGAAAAGCCCCAAGACGGCCCAGATGAGCTCCACGAGAGCTCTTCACAAGCATAATGCAAGATGTGTCACGTGTGGCGGCCTTCCTCGTCCTCCTCCTCCTCCTCCTGCTCCTCCTACTCCTCCTCAGTAATCGCCACCCTCATCGTCCTCGTTATCCTCAGCCCTCTCATCACGGCTCTCCCAAGCCTGGAGACACGAAGTGTCACACATGACGGCCTCCCGCGCCCCCTCGAACAGTCGCCACCCAGAACGCTGGGCTGGCACGGCAGTGGGACTTGCCGCAGGCAACTGGATACCTGCAGCGCAACCAGTTCCGCTTGCGCATGGCAACTTCGGGCCCGTCCAGCGACGCTTAGATCAACGAATACCACGATCCACCCGAAGATGAAACGCTGAGGTGGTCTCGCACGAACTAGATCTATGGCCCTCCCTGGAAACCCTGAGCCCAAGACCGTTGACACACCCGGATCCCAAACACGCTACCGTCCCTTCGCGGCGCGCTGTATTTTCCCGCTGGCGTCCGCGGGCCGCTCGTCGGCCTCCGCCGGCCGAGCCGTTCTCGCTGTATGTCCGACGCCCTCCACCGAGGAAGGGAAGGGCTGTCCATCGTTCGGCCCCTCGAGGGCGGAGAGCCTTCTGGAGCACTGGGACGCCCCACCACCCAGCGCAGAAGCACCCGCGACAGACAGCTGTGAGCCCCCAGCAGTGAGGTCCACCGCCACGGCGTTTTTTTTTTTTTTTTTTTTTTTTTTTTTTTTTTTTTTTTTTTTTTTTTTTTTTTTTTTTTTTTTTTTTTTTTTTTTTTTTTTTTTTTTTTTCTTTTTATCTATATATTATTAGTATTATTATTATTATTTTTTGTTTTTCCAGGAATGCGGACCGCGGCCCTTACCGCGTTGCCCCCACCTCCTTGAATGGGGTCCCCTGCCTCCACTACACACCCCCGCGAACGAGAGAGAGAGAGAGAGATAGAGACAGAACATCCCCACATACTCACATACTCCTCCCCCTTCCGCCCCGACGCACTCAACACACTCACAATATCGGCACCCACATCATCACTGGCAACATCACCAGCACCACAACCAGAAGCATCTCATCATTCGCACGCACACTTCACTCACAGGACCTGACCATCGTCGCCACCACCACCTCGACCACCACAACATGACCACCATTGCCCACCGCCGAACACACACACAGACACACAGACACACAGACACACAGACACACAGACACACAGACACACAGCCACACAGACACACAGGCACACAGGCACACAGACACACAGGCACACAGGCACAGAGGCACACAGGCACACAGACACACAGACACACAGGCACACAGGCACACAGACACACAGGCACACAGGCACAGAGGCACACAGGCACGAAGGCACACAGGCACACAGGCACACAGGCACACAGGCACACAGGCACATATGCACACAGACACACAGACACACAGACACACAGACACACAGACACACATGCACACAGGCACACAGGCACACAGGCACACAGGCACACAGGCACACAGGCACACAGACACACAGACACACAGGCACACAGACACACACACACACAGACACACACACAGACACAGACACAGACACATACACAGACACAGACAGACACAGACAGACACACATGCACACAGACACACACACACAGGCACAGACACACACACACACATTCACATACCCACGCACTCACTCATTCGCCCACCCACGTACTCACACCAATTTTGTACGTCAGCGGCGCGGCAGAGGTATACTGCACCAGCGGGAAGAACACGTGCTCAACCACTCAACTTGAAGACATCTCTGGTGGGTGCCTCGTCTGTGAATGCATCGCGAAAACGCTTCGACCGCACGCCCCTGCCTATGGGGTCCCCTCTTCATGTTTCTAATCCGAGAGGGGGTCATCAGAACCTTGTACCTGTCTTCTTCTTGGGGACTGCTGGCGCCTGAATCGTGAGGACGTCTTGAGCGGGAGCCTCGTTGAGAGGCAATCCCGAGCGGGAGCCCCACCCAACGGGGCCTCCAACTTGTGATTATAATCCGAAGGGGGTAGCCTTCACCTGTCGTAACTTTCTTGGGCCCTGGAGGCCAGAAAATGGAGAGCGTCTCGAGCGAGCACCTCGTCTGTGAGTGGACCACGCCAACCCGTTTTCTGTGCGCGTGAGGTTGAGCAGATGAGTAATTCCGCGTTCCTTCCTCCCCGTCGGGAAGCGGTTTACCCCATCCCATCCTCCCCCTGCCTGGGATTGCGGGAGGGGTGGGGGGTGAGGGAGGGGGGGGGGGGGGGCAATTCTCGAGGCGTTGGGGCGTGCAAGATGGCTCAATACTGCCCCAGGGGGGGCCCCAGATAGCACATCTTGATTGTCAAGACTGCACATCATTCCAGTGCGACCCTACCTAGGAGTTGGAGCCCCTAGGAAAACAGCATTAGTAGTAACAGTAAACCTAAGCTAAAGCTAAGCTAAAGCTAAGCTAAAGCTCACGCTAAAGCTAAGCTGAAGCTAAGCTAAAGCTAAGCTCACCCTAAGCTAAAGCTAAGCTAAAACTAAGCTAAAGCTAAGCTAACGCTAAGCTATAACTAAGCTACAGCTAAGCTAAAGCTAAGCTAAAGCTAAGCTGAAGCTAACGCTAAAGCTAAAGCTAAACTAAAGCTAAGCTAAAGCTAAGCTAAAGCTAACGCTAACGCTAAAGCTAAAGCTAAGCTAAAGCTAAGCTAAAGCTAAGCTAAAGCTAAGCTGAAGCTAAAGCTATAGCTAAAGCTCCCAAGGGACTGGGGGAACCGCGGGGCGGATACCGGGGGAACCGCCCGGGGCAGTTTCCACTGCCCGGCACCTTTAAGATAGAGAGTAAAAACCCTTCTAGGCAAAACCTAGGTCGGGAACTATAACACAAAATGACACTATCTAGCCGTCCTAATGCATCCGGTATGCCCTGATACCGCTCCAATGTGGTTCCAGATGGCCACGGCGCCTCCCAACGAATGCCCCGACAAGTCCACATCCTCCAAATTTTTGGAGGAATTAAAACTGTGCGTCTTCTCACCCTTTCGCTTCCGATGTGGAACCGCAGTTGGTGCCGCTCTCTTGTTTGATCGATGTCTCCCAGGGTTGC